CGAGCGGCAGAAACATAGTTTTCCATCAGTGTACAAGCAACGACACGGTTGTGTTTTCATTGCTTGACTTTTCCTTAATCTCTTTTTCCAGCTTCTCTTTCTTCTTTCTTATGCGCTCTAGCTCTTCCATCTCTGCGACATCCAACTTTCCCTTTTTGTCCACTTCTTTAAGATCCATATCAATCATCTTCAGAAAGTCCCCGAGGATGGAGGTTACGCATGCCTTCATCTCCTCACTTTTGTCAATTGATTGTTCTCCACAATTCGCACACTGCTTTTTTTGGATGCACCAATCTTCTTCTTCGCCTCTTCCAAATCTTTATTCATCTTGGTTCTCTCTAGGATGTTCATGTGCTCTTTTATAAAATACACACGACTTTCCGGTTCGGGGAAGTTATTAATCGAAGGTCCCTTACCAACTATATTCGAGGAACAACTGTCGCCTTGCCCTCCTTGGTTGTTATTGCCATAATAATTGCTCGATGGGTTCTCTGGAGCAATCACATGAGCCGGAGCTGGAACTGGAGCTGGAGCAGGAGTTGGGGCTGGTACCGGAGCTGCTGTGGCCCACTAGCCCGACACCGCCACATGCCATTAGTTTGGTTGCTGCCACGAGTGCGCACTCGATTGTCCGTGCTGTAGAACTTGATATTGCAACGGGATAACTGAGGGCTCCAATGTCGCTCCATCCCTCGGGTAGTCGGAGGTGGAGGTTTCTCACCTCCATACATCGTAGTGAAATGCGGTTGAATAAGCACACCTGGGGGTAACAGATTTGCACTAGGCGACACATTCATCGCGTATTGTGTGCCTTGCGCTTGCTGATAGCGTGCAACTACCCTCCATCCAGCACCTGCCGTCGCGAGACCACTTCCCTCGCCTCGCCTTGCTTCCACGCCTCTTGGCGTACATGTGACCAGCCATGAAAATTGCAGCCTCGGTCTCGATGCTCAATGCAATCCCCCACTCCTTGGAAGTTGGAACTTGAGCAATGCTCGTCGTATGAGTCGTTACGCATGTTGATACCTTCAACACCATACCCTGTTTTCGTTCCTCCGGAGCAACTGACGGAGCTCGTCGTGCCGACACTCCTAACCCGAAGAACACATCAACCAAGTATCACTCCACTGACCAATTGCTCAGGTGCACCTTGCCACCTTTCGCTCGCGCTCCAGTTCTTCAGTCCTCTGCCATATGCCACCGGACTCATGCAGGAGGGTGTGTACGCACCTTACAATGCGCTCTAAGCACCGCTCCTTCGTCCGATGTTGCGGTGTCACACTTGACAGTGTACAAAATCCACCTGATGAATTAAACCACCACTCCCTCTGACAGGAGGAAATTGCGCCAAGGTGGGCTCCTTGCTCACCGCCCAATGGGCGCTCAGCCCCAAGCGAGGCGCCCATCACTCTCAGTAACATCAGGCTTTCTTGGGATGAGCAACACTGTTGAAGTGTATTCCTGGTTGTGGAGGTGCAACCAGGACTACAATGGCGCAGAAGAGACCTGCATTCAGCCACATCTTTGGGCCGAGTACACCACGGAGCGGTAAAATCGAGAACCAATTATGTGGCAGCAACATTCCGATCTCTTTCAAATCGGTGCTTCCGAAGGCAGTGGGAAAGTCAGCGGTGGTAGTGGGAGCAACCCGGGAGGAGAGTGCCAAGCACCATTGAAGTCTCCAGTGACCCTTAGCTCTGTGTCCCCCGCGGTCGTTGATTCTGGACCGCCGTGGGGATCTCAAACGCGGCCTGAACCATGAACCCTGAACCCTGAACCTGAACCCTAAGCCCTAAGGACCTAAACCCTAAACCCTATTTTCCCATTTATTCGACGGGGAAAAATCCCGAAGGGCCACAGGTGTTGTAGGGTTTCACAAACCCTACAACCCCCTTTTTTTTCAAACCAATGACTTTTTGGTAATTAAAAAAATAAAAAACAAAATTAATGGAAAAAAAAAAACATTATTTTCGGTTGGTAGTTCGCTGTCTTAAGTTTTTTTTTTTTTTTTTTTTTCCTCTGTTAGGGACTAAACAAAAATCATAGAAAAAAAGGGGTAACTACTCAACAGTCACAAAAAAGGTTTATAAATGCATTTGAAACAGTATTTATCCAATCTAGTCAGGGCCGTAGTTTGAAATAGAGTCCAAACTCCAATTTGCGGAAAAGTTGTGCCGCCGAGTTTGAAACTGCAATCTAGTCCCTCATGAAGGAGGGCCCAATAGAGACTGTAGAGGCCCTGACACAAGTTGTTTATGAATGTGCAATCCCGCGTTTATGGTCCGATACATTCGGGGAACTTCTAGCGTGAAAATGTGCACACACACACACACACACACACACACACACACACACACACACACACACACACACACACAGAGAGAGAGAGAGAGAGAGAGAGAGCTCTGTGTGTGTGTGTGTGTGTGTGTGCATGCGCACGTTTTTTTTTTTTAAACTAAATATATTCTTCTCTCAATCTTGTTTGTATATATATTTTCCTCGTTTATCTCATCCTCTGGGCCCTGGCTAGTCTATGTATAGTATGGGGGAACACCAACCAAACTTGGAACTCTCCCCAGCCCATGGGGTAGGTTGGCACCACAGTAGTGGTGCGAGAGCAAGGCTTGTATCAGCCCCTCATCACGATGATGCGGGAAGATCAGGCATTGCCAACGGCGGAAACCAGCGATGCAAATGCTGAGCATCTTTGGCCAGTTACTTGCACCTCCCCCTACCCCCTCCAACCCCACATTAGCGGTCTCTAATGGTTTGGCCCTCCAAGCCTGCATTGGCAGGACCTTGGCCAATATTGTTGCTTGCTATGCACGCGCACATTTGGATGTATACAATTGAGCAAGCTCCTTCTTCTGTTTTCGAATGTATAATTCCACGTTCATGGTCTCATACATTCAGGAAGTTGCTCGTACGAAACGGTGCTCGTGCACAAAGAGAGGGAGAGAAAGAGTCTCTCTCTCTCTCTCTCTCTCTCTCTCTCTCTCTCTCTCTCTCTCTCTCTCTCTCTCTCTCTCTCTCTCGCGCGCGCGCTCGAGTGCGCTGTGTGTGTGTGTGCGCGCGGGCGCATATACACACAGGCAGTTTCCTGAACGTATCGGACTATGAACTTGGGATAATACATTCAAAAGCAGACGTACAATCAAACCCCCTGTGTGTGTGTGTGTGTGCGGGAGGGCAAATGTTCATTCTAACATGGACTATACATTCGAAAACAGAAGTTGTTCACGTGGGGCTCGATCGTACTTCTGACTTCGAATGTATAAATCCAGCGTTCATGGTCCAATACGTTTGGGAAACTGCTAGCATGAAAATATGCCACTCACACACACTCACACACACACACACACACACACACACACACACAGAGAAAAAAAAAAAGGTGACTCTCCCTCCCCCCCGCCTTCTCCTCTCTCCCCTCTCTCCTCTCAAAGTCTCTCCTCTGTGTGTGTGTGTGTGTGTGTGTGTGTGTGTGTGTGTGTGCGTGCGGGCACATTTTCACACTAGCAGTTTCTCGATAGTATCGGACCATGAACGTGACACTATACATTTGAAAACAGAAGAAGGAGCTGGCTCCATTGTAATATATCCGAAATGTGCCTGCGCACACACACACACACACATCTCTCTCTGCCTCTCTCTCTCTCTCTCTCTCTCTCTCTCTCTCTCTCTCTCTCTCTCTCTCTCTCTCTCTCTCTCTCTCTCTCTCGCTTTTCGATCACAAAGACTCGTAGTAGTCACCCTCCTGATGATGCCCGTGCGGACGGGCAAAACCGGTCGGGCGACCGCATGTTTGCTCTATTGGCAGTATTATCAAACAAGTGTTACTGTCGTTTTTGTACGCGTGCCTGTGCGTATGTGTGAGAACGATGATGGGATGCTTTGTGTTGGCTGCAGGAGCTGTTTGGCCGCAGCTCTCCTACTCTCGAGCACGTAGTAACCGCCAGTTTGTTCGCGCTGCGTGGTGGCTGCGTCGACATGCGACCGTAATCGTCTTTCGAACAAAGGGTGCGATACCGGGTTGTGTAAGTGTGGTAAACAAGAGATTGGAGATCATGTCATAGACTTGAATGGACTTGCATGATGGTGAAGGCGTGGGGGCTGCAAACTGTGATCACCGACAACAGTGGGTGGGGATGCTGATGAGGACGGGACCACGAATCTGGAGATAGTAACGAGCTTTCATGCGACGATACTCAGCGGATCTTCGGAGATTGTCGATCTGCGCGAAGTACAGCTAGTGGTATCTGCGAAGACGGTGGCAAAGGTGGCGCCATGGTATGCGGTGAGTACAGAGGTGAATGGGAAGTGGGTAGATCTTGGATATAGGGGCTTACAAGCACACACCGTGATATGGGTGGGCAGGCGAGTAGATGATGGTAGACGTCCCGTCGCGAAGATTAGCACGCACCGTGGGAGGGACGACGGAAGACAGAACGAATTATCCGAAGGTTTTCGGTGGGTAACACGGCGGTACTCTTGAGGCGGAAGTGAGGACGCGGAGGGTTTTACGATAATACTAAGGCGATCGGTGGAAGTGAGGGAATGTAGGGTAGTGAGACTAGAGTCATTTGGTACGGATTTGGTATGATTTTATGTGGTTTGGGTTTGATTTTGATCGGATCCGCGGTATGAAGGGATGGACATTCCGTGTACTAGTTGTGGGGGACCATGAGGAAGGGGAAGACGTTTTATGACTGTACGAGCTAGACTCATACATGCGCTCGAGGACTACGTAGAAGAGACTGTACGGCCCATGCACTTCATGATTGGATTCGTTGATGATGAGAATCTAAGGAACGGATTGTATGATTGTCTGATGAGCCTGCTGATTAAAATTGAGACAACTCTGCTAGCTTTAAGGACGAGACAGAGGATATAATACCGCGAGATTATCGATATTTGGAGAGAGTAGAAACTGGGCAACGTAACTGAATTAGAAAGGTTGGCGAATACTGTGGCAAAGCGCGTGTTTGGGTACGGGAGTCGGGAAGATTTATGTGGGAGCGCTCGGGGCAAACTTACGTGCAGTAAAGATGTACTTAACTACGGGACCGGCAGGGGGCGGTGGACAGGGCGTCGCGAGTGGTCAGCAGATAGGCGTTGGACAGGCCTATGGAGGATCGACCGGATACACTGGAGGGGGAGGGAGGATGGGCATGGGTAATATGACATGCTTTAACTGTGGCAAAGTGGGTCATATGGCGCGTGATTGTTGGTCGAGACAGGGGAGGAATATGGCGGGACCACAAGGAGACCCGGAACTAGAGGAGATCAAGGAGCAGTTTAGGCAGGCGCGCAAGGAGAAATTGGAGCAGGAAGAAATGAAGAAGAAGGAGGAAGAGAAGAGAATCAGGGAGGAGGAGGAGACCAGGAGAAACTTGGACTTTGCGCGGAAAGCAGAGGAGTTCAAGTTGCAATTGCGAGCAGAGCTGCTTAAGGAGTGGAGGAAGAACCATGCAGAAGCTAGAAAAGCAACCGAGACGACTGGAAGATCGACAAGGGAGGCGAAGAAGAAAAAGAAGAAGCACCAAACTGAGCATGGAGGACAAAAGAGGCGGAGGACGCGGAGGAATAGGAAATGGGAAGACACAAGCGAGGATACTGATTCGTCATGCTCGACGGATGATGATACTCTCGATGATACGACATCGGAATCCGGTTCAGACGGGAAGCGAACACGCAACAAGACTTGCGTGACACATGAGACAGGAAAGTTGAAGACCATAGCCAGAACAAAGGGCGGCAAGGGTAAGGGAAAGGCAAAGGAGGTAATGACACCAGTTAGGATCTACGAGAAAGGTGAATGCTCGAAGGCTCGAAGAGAGCCACAGGGAGATGAAGTTGAGGACACGGGCACGAGATCTGCCGATGGACCCGAGCCCAAGACACCTCTGACGGGGGGATTTAAGGGACTTGCAGCAGGGTGCTCTCAGAAGGGATTGATAGAGTACTGTATATCCGCACACAAGATATACTCTGCGAAGAAGGCCGACGCGCTCAGGAAAATCTGCGAGCAGAAGGGGATCAAGTACACCAAGAAACCAGAGATCGTGGAGATTCTTGCTAGGCACCAGGTGCAGCTAGCTTACGACGACTTCGACGAGACGCAGGGTATGACTAAGGACAATATGAAGATGAAGGCTTCAGGGACACCAAGGAAGGAGTTTGTGAAGGATAGGACTACAACGAAAAAAATTGCGAAGGAGCAGGAGCCTACTATAATACGCTCAGCGTCAGTACAGCCGCATGAAGACTCAGACTGAAGACTAACAACGCCTTCTAACACAGAGCTTTGGGATGCGCTCATCAGATGGATGGACCAAAGGGTAAAGTTGAGAGAACAGGGAGTTACAGGTGATGTAGGTAGGAAGGTGGAGAGCGCTATCAGCTCGACTATGTTACTTCTAACGATACAGGGGCAAATACCGTGGCTAAAAAAATTTGTTACTAGATCTCTAAATCTGACTGGCTTGCTGAGTTTAGAAACCAGAGGTGTCTATGTAATAGCTAGCCCGTGGACTAAAAAGGTGTATGTCGGATGTACGGTTAGGCCTATTATACAACGATGGAGAGAACACTACCGAAATACGCTATGTGATTCCCTGGGACTCGCGCCACACCTTTATCGTTGGCTAAGGAGGTTCAGACTGGATAAGTACGGTATTATACCCATTAGGCACGTAAATGAGAAGGATGATTTTGAATTCGAACGGTATCTCATAGCAGATTTTAATCCATGCTTAAATACGAGGGATATTGGCAAGACGAAAAGGATTACAAAGGGGAGAAGAAGGAAGGGTAGACGGGAGCGAAAGGGTAGAAGGAAGAATCGATAAGGTCGTGAGTTTTAAGTTCAGGGACTTGGAGCTGGCCTCGATACACTCCTGGCTGAAAGCGCAGAATGACGAAGGGGTAGGGGAGGGAGAAAAACTGCTTTGCTTAGGCGGTAACATATGGATAGACGAATGGCGAAAGCTTAAGAGAGCGTATTAGAACTGGAGGGAAAGAGGATGACTTTACGTGATGCAAAAGCGGGGTTGCAGGCAGGTGGAGTTATTACCATCGTAAAGATCGTAAGGTCAAAGACCACTACGGAACGTAATAAAGCGCTATTAGTGTCGATTTTGCGCAAACCTAGACCAGACTCACGACTGATGACAATACCTATAAGGAAACTGATTGGACTATATAGGACGGCGGGTTTGTTTGCGGTAAAGCAGACTAAACATCGATTGCGGACGAAGATTGATAAAGTGTTAGCCAGAAAGTCAGGTATCAGCGTACGGAAGAAGATATGCGTGAAATGACGGTATGATACAAGGGTGCTGAAGAGAGGGGTACGCATGGTCACGGAGAGGACGATTGCTAACGCTATAGTGGATAAGGCATTGGTCGTTCGCTGTAGGGGTGCGAAACCGTAACGTGGGGGAGCCGGCCAGCCGAAACCGGTATGGTCGTTCGCTGTAGGTTCTGCTATTTGCACTCTTTTCTTGCGGAACCATGTGACAGTCGCGTTGGGGAAAGTGTTTTCTACTATATGTCTTTGTCGCCTCCCATGACTGCTTTCCTCCTCTTCTTCCTCTTCTTCCTCTTCTTCTTCTTCTTCTTCTTCTTCTTCACTTGGTCATGCATGTATGATTGTCGGAGTCTCTGTCAGTTTTTTCTGTTCATTCATTTGTCAATTGACAACTCGTCAATTGAATTTTGCAATATATGAGTTTCACATTAAAAACAAAAAACAACAAAAAACAACAAAAAACAACAAAGAAAAAACAGAAACCATTTTTCAAACGTCAAAACGGTGTCACACGCCACTGTCCCACGGTATAATACGGTGCTAGTGGGTCCTGGCCGCCGCCCCAACAGCGGTAGTCAGAGTAAAAACGCACAAGTGTTTTTCATTTCTGCAGGTTAAACCAACCGCTAGATGCGCAGCGTGGGATGCATCTCATCTCCAAAGTCGCTCCCGATCACACACGTTGAGCCACTTCAACGTTGAACCGTGTTTCCTCTTAGCGTGCTCACACTACCGTCTTCCCCCGAACACAACGTACCCTAATTTTGGCTGGATGAGACCGGAAAGCTAGGTCGTATACATTCATAATCAGGGTGCGTTGTGTTCGGGGGAAGACGCTAGCACTTTCCTATATGTATATGACTGCTTTTCGGACCAGGAGTGGGTTCACTGACCGCAAATACGTCCACAGAGAAGTGAAGTAGTCTTTGCTCCAAACGTAGGAGATTTTTTTTTGTTTTTTTTTTCGAGCCTGATTTTCACTGCGCACCGAGTTTTGCCAAGCCGGGGGCTCGGACCCACTCGCAAAGTCTTTCACCTGTTGGTGAGAGGATTTCCATCACGTGTGGCATGTAGTGACATTTGATGTCCGTAGATGGCATCCCGTATCTAGGGACACATGTTGTCTGTTAGGAATAGTGGCAATCCCATAGGTTTCCACCAACCCCTGCCTGTGAAAATGTTACATTCCACGTTGGGAATTTTTAAATTTTTAAATCGAAAGGCACGTCTTGAGAGTCTCGTTTCCCAGACTCCAAAAGGGGGAGGGGGGGGGGGGGWAACGTACTGAAAAAGAAAAAGTTGTGTCCCTCTGACAACGGTCAATAATGGCCTGCCAGTAGCACCCCATGAATTCAGGCTACAGTGCCAGACTCAAGCACACAAAACAATAAAACTTATTAAAAAGCTAGGTTGTTTTTCCGGGCGCCCGGGCACCAAACTTGTGCCCGGATAAAGGCCCAGGTGCCCGTCCCGGCATGACCCCCGGCAGGGTCCGGAGCAGCCCCAGCGCAAAAAAAAAAAAACAAAAAAAAAAACACGAAAGTCAAAAAATTCCCGAAAACAAAAATGTTGTGTAGAATTGCAATACAAACAACTTTTGGCTGAGGGTCACGTCCGAATTCCTCACCGAATAGGAGATAAAAAAGAAAACAACAAAATCACACTAAAGGACCCCCCTTTAACCCCTCCTAACCCCTCCTAACCCCTTTAAAAATAATTTATACCCCCCTTGACCCCCTTGACAGCCAACTCTCAAAAAATGAAACGGGCCCGGATTTGGGTTCCTCTGGGAAAGCGCAGAAAGGCAAAATAATTTTTTATTTTATTTTTTTGCACGCCTGGGTACCCCAGCGTCAGACGCCCCGTTGCCCCGCCGGGCATGAAAGCCCATTTCTTGCATTTTTTTTAATGGAAGAAATGCGTTTCTTTAATGCAAGCAAACTTCAACCCCACATAGTGGCCAGATACATTCCTCAAAGCACTTGTGTTATGTGCCACCCTCATGAGGGGCTTCGGGGGGCAAGGTCCCACTTGCGCAAATCAGGAGATTTCGTCCGTTGATCTTTGCTACCTACGGTCAGTAGCTCCTAATTCGTGCGAGTGGGACCTCATGAAAGCCTATGACCAACACGGGTGTGAGTGTGAGCGCGAGTGGGTTGTGTGTGGTGTGTGGGAGAGTGTTGGCCATAACCTCTGATGCTACTCGATGAAGGGTGGGGGACGATGAGAAAGGGAGGCACAGCTACTGCCAGGTCTCGGTCTCTGTGTTAGCCAGACCCCCACTGGCAGCCCCAACCCTATACCCTAACCATTAGGGGCCAGGGGCAACATGAAATCTCCCCTTCACAGAGAGAGGAAAACTATGCTTGCAGGGGTCCCCTCTAGATAGTCTTAGGAGTAGGTAGTGGAATGTAAAACAAACAGAAGTTGAGAGAAGAATATAGACAGTTGTGATCACCCCAAAAAAGAAAAAAAATAAAATTGTAACGGGTGTCCCGACGGACAAAGGTAGAAGATTTGTAGGTGGCCTATCCTGTCAGGACAAACATTGGCTGCCTCTGCCACCAATCACCGCCGGTGTGGTCGCATTAGCAGTCGGATAGGAATGTGGCCGATCCAGTATGACACTGACTGGCAGCGGGCTGACAGATTCATTACGAATTTCTGGGGTGAGAAAACTGGAGAAAGGCAAAAAAAAAAAAAGAAACAGAGACCTCTCACCTGAAATCACGGCAGAGTGCTTCCCAGCCATCAGATCACAAATGATCTGATGGTGATGGTTGCAACAACAGTGAACAAAGTAACCGCCACGTTTTTTTCTGGAATAGAAATTCGACTTCTGTCAGCAGTGATCCTAACACCCTCCATATACTCCCTGATTGAAGGATGGCTCCACCCAATGAGATAATTGCACAACAACAAGCAAAATACTAGAAAATCTTCTATCCAGTGGGCCTATGGCCGACCCCACTCTCTTTTGGGGTTGGCCATGCCACCAACAGATTGAAAAGATTTTGGCGGGAAGCTTCCTTTGCACCGGCATGCCCAGTGTTAAGGAGAGGAGGAGGGGACCAAAGATCTCCTTACTTTTTCGGGTAATACATGTAATATAAGTACTGACCGTGGGATCACGAGTACTGCACGGCAGGATTCGGGTCACTCAACTGCCACACAAACTCTTTTCTATCCTATCCGGTTGCTAGTGGGACCACGCCCCCCGTGTCTGGTCCTTGGCCTCTACAACACCCTGCGCTTTGGGAAACAAAAAAAAAAAAAAAAAAAAAGATTTGCCTCCACGCCTGCCGAGACATCAGTAGCCCGCGCTGACAGGCACCACGTTTTCGGTCTTTCAAAGCGTCCGCGGTCAGTTGATTTTTTGTTTTTGTTTTTTTTGGAAGAATTTAAGATTTTATATTATCAATGGAAGAGGCCGGGAATCCTCATAAAACAACCCGGAGCCATTACCCAGGTTAGGCTACCGTCTTCCCCCGAACACAACGCACCCTTATTTTGGCTGTCTCTGGCCGCAAGTATAGCTTGTATACATTCATTTTTAGGGTGCATTATGTTCGGGGGAAGACGGCAGTTCAGTGGAATCGATCTATGCTCAGGCGCCAAGTTCTTGCTCAGAGGCACTATATATAATCAAAACATTTCGCTCTTTCAAAAAGAGAAAAGAATGAATGTACCAGCTAGAACATGAACAGATACACCGCTACGATTTTTTTTCTGTCTTGTGCGCATGTGACGATAGGGGCGGAGCGAGGCCCAGACTCCGGCCTTGCCGTTGTGATCAACCTCGCCGAGCGCACGTCGTTGATGCCGAACAAGTGCATTGAATAGTGCCGCAATTCTGGACTGGTAATTATCCATGACAATGACATTCCTGTGTCCTATCGGCGCTATCTCGCTGCGGCACTATAGTGCCTTCGAGCTCCTCAAGAGGCCGCCGGTCTGACCAAAGGCCAAAACAAAAAAAATCCATGTCGGGTCACATCACTGGCCCCCCGAAAGCGTATCAGGTCCTTCGGGACATCCGTTAAAATTGGAACGATACAGAGAAGATTAGCATGGCCCCTGCGCTTTCAAGGATGACACGCATAAATCGAGAAATGGTCCAAATAAAAAAAAAAGAAAAAAGAAAAAAAAAAGAAAGCGTATCGCTCGTACCGAATCTTCTTCTGCTTCGTTCCCCGTATCTTCTTTGAACGACCATTTCTTTTTTTTTTTT